CACTACAAAAAGCTTCTTTACAAGAGGTATGTAATTCGTACTCAACATAATCTGCAATGCCACCCCAAGGGATTCTGGTCGTTTGCGATTACGAAGAGGAAGGAAACTGGTCTGCCGTCAAAAATGTTTCTCGGCAATGACGTGGCATTGACAACTGAGGACAAATGCAGCCTAATTTGCTAGGCACTTCTTAAGCGTCTTCTCGAATGACTCCCCATCACAAGCAGAAATTGAGCGAGTCGTCCGTGATGTGCCAAACGACGTCGTAAACATGGATGTTTTTATCATAGATGTACAAATGGTTCTCTCTGTGATGAGTAAAACCAAATCATCATTTTCACCAGGTCCGAGCGTTATTCCTTCTGTTGTCCTAAAAAAAATGCTCCGGACTGCCATTTTGTTTGATTATAACGTTGCTGAGACTGCAGCTCAACGTGTCGATCACGTTAAAGACCGCGGTGTAATGTTGGATGAAAAGCTCACATACACTCGCCACTTCTCAACCACGATCGACAAAGCAAATCGTCAGCTTGGATTCATGTTCAAGATCTCTAAGGAATTTCGTGATCCTCTGTGTTTTAAGTCCCTTTACTTTTCATTGGTACGCTCACTACTGGAATTCGCGTGTGTTGTCTGGAATCCCTACCAAGCAGTATGGAGTGGACGGTTCTTGGAGTGACCCGCTGACTTTACCACAGTATGCTGACCGCTGTCGTTTACTGGGTTCGGATACTCTTGCTATGCGACGAAACATATCACAAGACGTCTTCGTTGCTAAAGTCTTGCTCGCAGAATTTGATGCTCCTGAGTTACTGGTCAAAATTAATCTATATGCTCCTGCCCGAACACTCCGTCCGAGAACCTTGCTACATGAAGAAGTACATGCAACCAACTAACAGCAACCAGTTCCTTTGTCACCATGATTCATCAATTCAACGAAGTATCTGACCTATTTGACTTTGACATCAATGCCTCCAGATTTCGTCATCGTTTGCTGTCAGCCAATTTTTAATTTTTAATGAGTGACTACATTTAGATTTACGTGTTTCATTGCGACTACCAAGTCAGATGAAGTATAATAATAATAATAATTCGGATTCATTGACACTAAGTTTAGTAAAAAATGCTACTTGAATGGTAATGTCATCAATCGTTGCAGTCCTATGATCGTTTGTTGGGTTGTTGATATTGTAAGCTACATAACGTCAACTCTATAAAATTCAAATTTATGCAATGTACATGTGTTATGAAATGTATTTATGTGTTATGAAAAATACATCAGGGCAACCATTGTAGTATCACGATGATATGTTTTTAAGATTTATCTTGATATCTAGCACCGAAAATGTTTTACGTGAAAATAAAACGATAAATTTCACCCCGGTGATCAATTTGTCGATCACTACACCAGAATACATCCTAAGTCTCAAAATTCAAAAGTTCTATTTAGAACTACTAAATGAAATTCTAATAAAATTATCAAAATACAATATTACGAAAAAAAAAAATCGGTGTAGTGATCAACATCACCTCAATGATCAACTTCACCCCGTTTTACGGTAATTGCTATAGTGTTCCAAACTAGTGCGTTATCAGCACTGGTACACTCATGGCAATGCATTGATGATGTCTTATTAGAATTGACATGGAATTTTCCCGGCTTGGTTTTCCAAAACTTCGGAAAATTTCCTATCAAAATAGGTTAGTGAATATTTTTGGATAGCAAGACTTCTGCGGATATATTCAAAAAACTATAAGTTGAGAGCAAACGTAAAACTTTTTAATCAATTTAATTAAATCCAGTGTTTTCTTGACATAATCAATCTAATTAAAATAATTCCCAAGGAATTCATCTAGCAATTATACTCTCACAACGTTCACAGCCAACGCATGCATGAAATCAACTGTAACGAAAAGCATTCCCATTTGCGGTTATCAACAAGCTGTCAGCAATTGCATTCCTACGTTTCTACGTGTAGTAAAATTTCAATGAAGCAACCGATGATTGTGTCATTAATTCGATCCAATTTGGCTCTGCTACCTTCTTCCTACTTGCACCGCAAAGCGGAAAATGTGTTCCCAATGCAGCAAGACTAATTGTCGTCATTTCCATCCGTGTTCCTAAAAAGCACTAGATTTTCTTTTTCCCGTCCTAGCAACTGCAGTTCGGTGCTGAGTGCTTCGGGATTCAAGAGGATTTGTTTAATCAATTGGAAACAGGTATCTGAGAGTTGCGTTTTAAGGATGTTTAGGAGTTCAAAATCTTAAATCGCAATATTCCTATTTCCTGACATCCTGATCGTACGTTGTGATGATGATGATGATGAAATTCACTAGTCTCCTGATGTCAGCATCAGTTGCCCTAGTGTCAATATAATTGTCACTCGCGTCGATGTCAGTGAACAAATTTGTATTGTAACGGAGCCTGCTGAAATTCGCTGTTGTCTTTCTAATATCTCTCACTTGCGCCAGCAAATCGGAAACTGATCTTTAGAATGCTCATCGGTAATCTAGTCGGTAACATTGAAACTATCACAAATAAATCACATCATTAGGCGTATCTCGGGTTGCCTCGTTCACGTAATCCGCTGAGGCAACTGTGTCGTTGAAAACGTATCTGGAATGTTCCGCCAGAAGGTTACATTTCTCGAATGGAGTGCAGGCAAGTCTATATTCAAGAGAGATTTCCGTAGGAAGGCCAACTTCGTGTCTCTTAGTGTTGACAAACGACCAAAACTGTTTAGAGTTGATGCGAAGGTTGTTCTGCATTCGCCTGGTATAGCGTTTATAGAGAAACCGATAGTTGTTGCTAGCAAAACCGTTGTTTTGTTAAAGAGTTGCGTGTTTGACAGCATTTTCGAAGGGCTCCTGATCGAAGTCATTTGACCAAGCGGGTAACAACGAGGAGGAGGAGGTCTTCGTAATGGTACACAATTGATGATTTGGCGGTACAATCCCAATTAAATTTTCGACAGCCTCATCGACGCTTGGTAGCGGCTCAAGCATTTGTCAATCGACTTGTTAAGTCTGCCTAGCATATCTTCGGTAGATTCAAAGCTGGTGGATGTTTCCAATGAGGATTGATCAGCATCAAGACTTATCAAAGGTTCTGCAGCTTCAGATACCGAGCATTCTGGGAGAGCGAGCTCGTTCGCCAGTAAAGGGTGGAACGGCCAAAAATTGGTCGACTCAAATTTGACGATTTTTTTTAATTCTTGCATTTAAAAAACTTGAACACTCCTATTTTTTTAGGTTTGTGCGTACGAAATGTTTCCTCTATTTTGCTTTTGCCATTTTCCATTCCCACTCCATAAGGAGCTTACCCGTTCCTTTTCGAAGGATTTTCCACCGTCGTGAAATATCGACGACCCAGAAATTCTGCTGCGATGATTCACTGTTTCTTCCACCTTGCTCGGACACTTTGTCACACAAATTGCTTCTGATGCACGTTTTTCACTGTGCACACTGCGCGCGATTCGGAGATTGCTTTATGCTCTGAACACCAAAGTAGGAATTGTACATCCAAGTACGTTTGCGGAACCTGTCACCAGAAACACCATACCCTGCTGCACGAAACTGCAACCACGAAGATACAATCCACTCCAGTAGCTAAATCTGGTCAGCCACCCCAACAACCGAATCCATCCACGTCGACTGCCGTCAAACCCCCCCCCCCCCCATGGATCAGTGAATCCGAACCCCCAAGTGAGCTTGTCGGAACAGTCGAGCAAATCCACGGTCCTGTTGGAAACGGTCAACCTCTTAGTGTGGATCAGAATGGCAATGAGTTTTCTGCTCGTGGAGTCCTAGATTAAAAATCGATGAGCAGTTTCATCATGAAGAAGCTTGCAAACACACTCAACCTCCGTCCAACGAAAGTAGACATTACCGTGTCTGGAATCGGTGAAACGACGAAGCAGATCAAGTGCAAGTTGACTGCGACTATTAAATCCACTCTACGTTTTTTTTCTTGATTTGTTTTTACGTCGATCTTGTTTTCCGTGCTGAGCACCAATGCTGCTGACGCCAGGGAGGCAGCTCCCACACCTGGACCCTTCCTATCGACCCATCAACTCATGAACCGGGGACCAACGGCTTTACTTCCCTTCCGAAGGAATGCGTGATCAGGGATGTTATGTCTCAGAACATCCCGGCGGCGCCGAATGGGATTGAACCCAGGCCTGCTGGGGTGAGAGGTATTCACGCTTACCACTGCACCAACGGCGCCGCTATCCACGCTGCGTTCGTACAGTACCACGCTCGAGTTCCTCATCCTGAAGAAGCCCACAGTCTGCCTGCCAACCATGCCGATTGACGTTTCCTCGTGGAAGTTTCCTGAAGTTCCGTTAGCTGATCCAAGCTTCCACATTCTAGCCGACATTTACCTGATTGTCGGAAGAGAAGTGTGCCACGAACTGCACCCTGGCAGTAAGATTTCCTGCGGAGAAGGGCAACCTGTGTTAGTCGAGACCTCTTTCGGATGGACTGTTTCCGGGAAGGTATCCATCCATTCACCTGAAGTTCCACGTGTATGTCACCTCACTACTGTGGACCGTAATCTCGAACAAGCCATCCAGAAGTACTTGGAGTTAGAAGCCGTTGAACCCTGTTCCAAATTTACGGTAGAAGAAAATCTCTGTGAAGAACTGTACGTCACTACCACCACTCACGATTCGTCGGGTCGTTATATCGTTTTCCGCGATCCACTCGTCAATCTCGGTCAATTCCGTTCGATTGCTAAGCGCCGCTTCCTTAACCTCTAAAAACGACTTGAGCGAGATCCAATCACCAAAGAGACTTGCTGTCGCTTCGTGGAAGAATACGAGTGCCTGAATCACATGGTGAAACTCCTGGATCCAGAAGATAACAGCCAGCCGCACTGATACCTCCCACACACCATCCGGTGTTCAAAGAATCCAGCACCACCACAAAAGTTCGAGTTGTGTTCGATGCGTCGTGCAAGATGTCATCTGAATTCTCCGTAAACGACCTACAACTAGTTGGACCCGTCGTTCAAGAAGATCTACTGTCGATCCACATCAGATTCCGCATCTACCAAATCACTGACGTTGAAAAAATGTATCGGCAAATTTTGCAGCACTACTTCTTCCGGCGGTATCAACTTATCCTTTGACGTCCCAGTTCAGACCAACCAATCGCTACGTACGAGCTGCAAACAGTAACGTATGGTTTTGCATCCTCTCCATTCCTGGCAACCCGCAGTATCGTCCAGATTGCGCAAGACGCAGCCGAGAACTATCCAACCGCAGCCGCGGTAGCCCAGAAGGATTTTTATGTAGATGACTTCCCGTCTGGTGCCGACAATGCACAGTGGTACAGAATGCAGATTTAGGTGGAATGATATGTTTTGAGCCTGAAATTGAAACTTTAGACTAAAAGTCTCTTCTACAAAGTTGTTCCTTATAGTTAGGCCCTCATTTTTATGACAATGAATTCTAGGGTGGTTCCTATTATCATTAAAATCAAAAATCTAACTTTTTTGTTTGAATAAATTAAGGTATACATTCTTCGACAAAGTTATAGCTGAGCTAATTTCAAGCAACTTTGTTGAAAATAACTTTTTTGTATCTCTTAAATTGGCCGATTTAGAGCTATTTTCTTGAATTGAGTTAGGGTGGCTCTTAAAAAAACAGTTTTTTTGCTCTATTTTTCTTATTTCGAATTTCTCAGCAAAAGTGTTTCCAGATAACTTTTAGATCTTAAGAAGGCGCAAATTTTTGCTGCACAAAGCTTGTCAATATCTTTCGCCGATCAAGAGTTATTTACGTTTGTATACTAAAAATATGCACTTTTCAAATGTTAATATCTCTAGTTGGGGCAAACAAAAAAAAGTTTTTTTGCAGCATTTGAAAGGGCGTATGTTATTCTCAATAATATGAAAAAAATTGAGGTACGTTATTTTTTTAACTCGTATAAAATCAATTTGAATTTATTCATATTTTTTACTATATTTGAGTATATCTTTTTTATTAGAAGAGATACAGGCAACAAATCTCGCTATAAAACATTCATCTTAAAGAGTTTTAAAAGTCTCTAGAAGATAACTTTCATGAGAATTTTCAAATAAAAAAGTTATTGCTAAAAAACTATTTTTTCCAGGAACACCCTAAGTCAACTCCGTAAAATTACTCTAAAATAAGAACGTTAAGAGATAGAAAAAAATTTTCTTCGACAAAGTTGCTTGCAAGTAACTTAACTACAACTTTTTCGAACAACACATGTTTATATTTTGTAAAACAAAAAAGTTAGTTTTAAAAATTCCCTAATTTGAGGACCACCCTGACGTTTGCAAACACCAAAAGAAGGGAATTTTTAAGAACAAAAACTTCTTCCAAGACACTAAATGTCCAAATATTGAAACAAATGTACTAGCACATTTTATATAAATGTGTCATTAGAGTGGTCCTATGAAATCCATCTTTTGCCAATAACTTTTTTATTTGAAATTTATCATGAAAGTCATCTTCTAGAGACTTTTAAAACTCTTTAAGGCGAATGTTTTATAGCTGGATTTGTTGCCTGTATCTCTTCTAATAAAAAAGATATACTCAAATATAGTAAAAAATATGAAAAAATTCAAATTGATTTTATACGAGTTAAAAAAATAACATACCTCCAATTTTTTTCATATTATTGAGAATAACATACGCCCTTTCAAATGCTGCAAAAAAACTTTTTTTTTGTTTGCCCCAACTAGAGATATTAACATTTGAAAAGTGCATATTTTTAGTATAAAAACGTCAATAACTCTTGATCGGCGAAAGATATTGACAAGCTTTGTGGAGCAAAAACTTGCGCCTTCTTAAGATCTAAAAGTTATCTGGAAACACTTTTGCTGAGAAATTCGAAATAAGAAAACTAGAGCAAAAAAACTGTTTTTTTAAGAGCCACCCTAACTCAATTCAAGAAAATAGCTCTAAATCGGTCAATTTAAGAGATACAAAAAAGTTATTTTCAACAAAGTTGCTTGAAATTACCTCAGCTATAACTTTGTCAAAAAATGTATACCTTAATTTATTCAAACAAAAAAGTTAGATTTTTGATTTTAATGATAATAGGAACCACCCTAGAATTCATTGTCATAAAAATGAGGGCCTAACTATAAGGAACAACTTTGTAGAAGAGACTTTTAGTCTAAAGTTTCAATTTCAGGCTCAAAACATATCATTCCACCTAAATCTGCATTCTGGACCACTGTGCAATGTTGAATCCGCCATCCGCATTCGCCCAGAAATGTCCGCCATGCTTTCCGCTGAAGAAATGGGCTTCAAACTCGCCTGAAGTCCTAGCCGATATTCCCGGAGAAGATCTAGCATTCGCTCCGTACCAAGACCTGCAAGACGACCAATCCGTTTCCACTCTCGGACTCATCTGGGATACGAGATCCGACATCATGAGCTTCAAGGTTCAGCTGCCATTACCAACCCCCTTTTTGACAAAATGGAAAGTTATGTCGTACGTTGCGCAGATTTTCGACCCACTTGGCCTGGTAGGACCAATAATAGTCAAGCTGTTTATGCAGCGCTTATGGGCGCTGAAAACCGAAACAGAAGATTCTTATAAGTGGGATCGTCCTCTTCCTCCACGTCTCCAGTCCGAGTGGAAGGAATTCCATAGAACGCTCGATACAATCGCCACACTCCGGGTTCCTCGCTGTGTATCGTCGGCCAACACAACATCATTCCAGTTCCACTTCGTCTCCGATGCGTCGTTGAAGGCTTATGGATCGTGCTGCTACGTCCGGTCAGAGTCTGCCGGAGCCGTTGGAGTCCAGCTGTTGACGTCCAAGTCACACACTATCGCACGTCTAGAGTTGTGCCATGAAGTTGTCAAAATGGAATCGAAGCAAGAGGAACAGCGTAAACATAGGGTAACTGATGATGGTTGGACCTATTTAGGCCGGTTTCACACGACGTCAATATTCATGTCGTATTTTTTTTATGAATTCAAAATACAATTATGAAAAATGCGGGGGGAGGTAGCTCATCGATTCTTCCGGTTCGCCTCCTAGCAGCATCGTGCTATAAGGTACCAGGCGATACCAGGGTAGTTGATCGATAGCTCGATGACGTCTTTTCGTTGGCGTCTGCAATGGGAAATTCTCATAGCATGCGTTGACGATGGGACGTTGTCGAGTTGTTGAATAGCAACTATCGTGGTAACTCACCGATTACCTGTCGATCTGCCAAATTTAGAAAGACGTCTGCATTGAATTGTCTCATATAATAATATTCCGCCCACTATATCACAAGAAATTGCGAGTAGCTGAGTGGAATGGAGATAAGTTAAGCATTGGGTACAGGACCAAGTCTCCCCTGGGTGGTGCCAGAAGATGCGCGCAATAGAATCATCAAGTTGCCATAAGGCACGGAATGAGAATATTGCATGGCTGGGTAGTCAAAGTCTTCCATTCGTTAGTCATTTCAGGTGGATTAGAACAGGTTTAGGTTTAGGGTGGGCGTTGGCCAGATTTGGATTTTTCAGATATAATCCTAAATAGGACCTAGATTATTTAATACACTAGTAACCTCAACTTCTGTCACAATGTTTCATTGTGACTAATCAACACTCAATGGGTAAAATATCAAATTTGCGGTAAATTTGAAAAAAAGGGAACTTGGAGTGTAGAGTGCACTGCCCACTGGACGATTCTGAAGCCTGACCAAGTGAGTGGGTTACGGGTTTATTTGATTGTACGTCATTTCCAAGTTATATATATAGATACATTCATACCATTGGCATTTTGTATTTGAGATAAGACAGAGACAGGATGCGGAGGGCCTGCTTAGGGGGAGCGTAACCCATGTTATGGCTTCCATTTATTAAATAGTTCAGATAGGCTGGAAATGATAGGTTCATGGTGAGAAAATGTACCATATGGTGCCCGTTCACTGATCAAAATTAGATTCAAATCGTCAGGCCCTGCCCTGGAATAAGGGGATTGACGATGATTTGTCAAGTTTCATCTTGCATTTGCATATAATTGTAAGTTTAGGTTTGCTTTTGTAATTGTAAGATAGATAGTTTGCCTCAATTGAAACATTGAGTTGTATAAACTTGACGAATCATACCTCTAAAATAGTGCCGCATTATCTAACAACCACTGCCTGCAACTAATGTTGGAGAGGTTGGTAGGGCTGATTACGGATTAAAACTAACATAACTCTAACACTGAAATGATCCCGAAACTAACGCTCATTCATTGCACTTTGAGCCATAAAGTAGTTTTATTTATTTTCCTACTAATCTATCTACACACTTAGCTTTTTCTACCGAGCTCGGCTGTGCGGGTCTCGGCGGGAAGGAGGTTTCGCTAAGATCTCGGCGGGAGTGACATTTGATTGAGGTCTCGGATAATGCCTTTTCTAATAATCTGCCTACGTTTCTTTTCTTTATCCCCTTTTTATTTTTCTGCTCTTCTTTTGTTTTTTTTTGTTTACATATAACTAATACTAATACCTCCTTGTTTTCTCTCTAATTTGTCTACTATGTCCCACCATCACGATGAGAGATGAGCTACCGTACATGGTACACGCTCATATACACTCCCAAAATAGTATGCCGCAAGTAAGTATATCACAGAGGCAACTAAAGATCCAGAAACGCTGATAACGCTGAAGATAATGAGCTGTGGTGATTTATATGACTATATAGTATTATTTATTTATACTAACCTAAACACAACGTGGGGTGACCCAAATCCAAACGATCACTAACCAAAATAATAGACTTATCTTTTTTCAGCAGGTGTAATTTCGTTTAGTTCTGTTTCTCTCTTTTCAGCAAAACAACTACAAAAAAACCTCTATAACTCTTCTTCATTCTTTTAATCTCCTACTATCCCCTATAAATGTATCGGAAACTAGTGGGACTGTCTGTGCAAACAGAAACAGATCTGCTAGTGGAAGAAGGTCGTTATAACTCGCTTAACTCGTACTCGCACTCGCTTAACGGCAGATTGGTTTACAGTGGTCGACCAGGGTGTGTGCTGATAAATTACAAAATTACAATTACATCATTATTTCATACATCAGCTTTTTTTTTTTTTTTTTTTTTTTTTTTTTTTTTTTTTTTTTTTGCTGTGCTCTACATCAGCCAGCAAAGTTCAACAATCCATTGTTGCTTATGCCTTTGTTGTCGTTTGGAACCAGTTTTGCGAGGTAGGCGACGATTGTGCGTATTTCTCGCGTAACTTTTGAAAAGGGCCTATTTATAGCCTGAACAATACGTAAAGAGCAAATTGAAACATTGAACGTCGCGTGAAAGTGGAACTTAATGAAGGCCTAAGTACTTTTTCGTAGTTTTTAGTTTTCGGATTTGAAAGATCGTCGG